AAAAAAAAAAAAAAAAAAAAAAAAGAATGAAACCACCAGAGGGCATTTCTGCACTGAAAACAAAATCACTGGGCTCACATTTTAGCATTGCACTGCTTTCCTGTTGCATAATAAAGCAATATTTCCCAAAATGTTCCTCAGGCAGCTCAGGTTAGATTTACTTGAAAGTAAGGCTGGAAGAGCTGGTCATTACCTGCAGTGGTCTCTTTCTTCTGCAGAGCCTGTCCTTTAAGGAAGAAAGAGTTGGCAGAATGTTTAGGGAAAGGGGATCTTCTGACAAACTGAGCATTACTGAGCATTGTAGGTGAACAGCAGAGAACAGAAAGGCGTCTCTGTTTATTCAAGTTGACAGGCTGGATCTCTCTGTGCAGGCATTACGGGTGATGGGGAAGATGATGCGAGAGTGCTGGTATGCCAATGGTGCAGCCCGCCTGACTGCTCTGCGCATCAAGAAAACCCTCTCACAGCTCAGCGTGCAGGAAGATGTGAAGATCTAACCTGTTCCCTCTGCCCTGCACGCAACCCTGGGCAGCAAGAACTACATGCAGCTGCCACGTTGAGCATACGATGGAGGCCTACCTCTCGTTTCTGCCCAGCCCTCTGTGGCCAGAGCCCTGGCTGGAAAGAGGGACAGAGCCCGGGAGACTCGCTCACTCCCATATTGGGTTTGAGACACAGACACCTTTTCTATTTACCTCCTGCTGGCATGGAGACTCTGAGAGCGAATTGTGTGGAGAACTCAATGCCACAACTCAAACTGGTTGCAGTAGGAAATCTGCAAAACCCGGTGCATCTGGCACAGAGCCAGGAGTGGTGAAAGGGTGGCCTGGGAGGGTCCAGGAGGAGCCAAGTTGCCAGTGCTGAGTAGCACTGAGGTTTTCCCCCAGGGACCATCTCTGATACACCAAGGTGGTCCAGAGGAACCAGACGTACAACCCCTCTCATAGGCAGCTCTGAGCCACATGCTCCCTCCTCCCAAGGACACCTGGAGGGTCTGCCAGTGGAAACAGATCCTGCCACCTGTCTGTCCAGCTCTGTGTGCATGTTCTGAGGTGTGTCCCCTGTTGTGCCTGGTCCGTGCCATGCCCTTATGTGTGTGTGTATGTGTGTGTCTGTAGGTGCGCACTTACCTGCTTGAGCTTTCTGTGCATGTGCAGGCCGAGGGTGTGGTTGTCATGCCGTCTCTCTGTGCTGGTACCTCTCTGTTCATAGTGAGCAGCATCTAGTTTCCCTGGTGCCCTTTCTTGGAAGTCCTCCCAACCCCCTGCCATTTTGGTACTCCTTCCTACAGGCTGCCCTGCCCACCCCATCAGCATAGCTCTCCTCTGTTTCAGACTGTGGAACCAAAGCTGGCCCAGTTGTCCATAGCAGAAGAGACTTTTGGGTCAAAATGTGAGGATTGGGGGTAGAGGGATGGGCAGGAAAGAATCTTGGCAGAAATGTTGAGTGTTGTACTGTCACCATTGACCGTGGGAAATGAGCCAGCCCAAGGGTATTATCCTCAACAGTGTCCAGGAAGGGCCAGAGAATCTGAAGCTAGATCTTGGGACTCAGATTGGAGTGTCACATCTGCATGTCCCCTCCCAGATTCTGCAAACTGTGGTGTACATTTTTGGTGGTGGTGGGTTTGGGGTAGAGAAGGGAAGTGGGGACAAAGAGTGGGGAGGGAGTCTTTGGGGGGAGGGACACATCTGCATGGGCCTTTTACTGGATTATCTGATCAGGGTGGAGGGAAGATGAGAGATTTACATCCACTTCAGGGGCCCTACTAAGGGAACAGCCTGAGCCAAACATGTTATTTAACCTAAGTATAGTATTTAATGAAGTCTAGAAGCACGGTAGAGGGTGGTGATTTGGTCAGCATATCTTAGGTATATAATAACTCTGAAGCCATAACTTTTAACTGGAGTGTTTTTGGTTTTTTTGTTTTGTTTTGTTTTGTTTTTGTTTATTGGGAGGGTTTGGATTTTAACTTTTTTATGTTAAGTTTTTATAAAAGGAAAACCATCTCTGTGATTATCTCTCAGTCTATTTGTTTTTAAAGAAACCCCTTTAAAAAAAACACACACAAAAAAAGAAAATTCTCCAATTGAATGCACATAGCTCAATCACACTGGAAATTGTTATATCTGAGCCTGTTCCCACTTGGCAGTGAGATTTCCTTTTTGCTCTGGAGGCCGTCTCTCTTGCCTTCTGTCCCCAACCTCCGTTACAGGAGCACCCTGGCCTTTTGTGCAGTGCCCAGCTGGTTGTACTCTCCAGGACTTTGCTCAGCAAATTCATGTCATGTGCCTACTGGGTACCCAGCACTGAGCCTGAGACTCCTTCACACTAGACTGGCTTATGTCCTACTCTGAGAGCCTCCCAGTTAACATGGGTTTCTGCTTTGAAACCAGACATTTTTGTGGTTGGTTCTGAGAGCCTTGGAACCTGGAATTATTGCTCTTAAATAAGACCACTGAGGCTCCCATATCTCCCTTCACAAAGAGACTACTCGTGGATGGTGAGGCCTGGGGTTAGAACCACAGGTGAGAAAGCAAAGCACTGTATTCATTGTGACCCCTTTCCTGCTGTGGGGGAGGCACGTTATGTATACAGACTTAGTGTCCGAGCCTGGCAGTTCTCTGCCAAAGCCTGGGGAGGAGAGTCCTCCATTCCCTTGGTATCCCCATGCTTCTGGCTTATTTATTTTCCTGATGTATTGTATCTTTCCTTGCATTAAAGGGGATCTTCCTCTAATCCTTTGGGCCAATTTTCTGGCCACTGGTTCATTTTCCTTGAATACCAGTTGTGTCTTTAGGGGACCTTCTTTACCCACCCCTGCTGACCTCCCACTTACTGCCTTGTAGCAGAACCTTGGCGGGTTACAGGTGGTGATGGAACTTAGACTCCTACTCTGAGTCACAACTAGCCTCTGGGATCTGCCAGTGTGTGTCCACCCAGCACTCCAAGCCACTAGCCCACTCCCTGGGGGCTCTTTTGTCCTCACCATACACCTTTGAATCCTCACTACACACAGTCCAGCTCCTATACCTCTGGGGGAGACTAAGCAGTTTTGGGGGGGAGCTCCAATGCCTGCACCAAGTAAGAGCTGGGGAAAAGCTAAAGCTGTGTTTGTGGCTCCCTAAGGCTAACTAACCCTGATCCACAGGGCTACCTGCACCTCTGGATTCTGGATTCACAGACCAAGTCCAAGCCCGTTCTTATGTCACCATCAGGCCCCTGAACGGCATTCTCGGTACTTGTTTGTTTTTGTACATTTTATTAGGACTGTAAAATAGCCACTTAGACACTTTACCTCTTCAGTATGCAAATGTAAATAAATTGTAATATAGGAAATCTTTTTGTTTTAATATAAGAATGAGCCTGTCCAATTTCTGCTGTACATTATTAAAAGTTTTATTCAAAGACCTTTTCTAGTGCTATCTCTCTTCCATTTGGAGAATGACCACTCACTTTTCACGGGTCTTGGGAGTGGGGCAAGCAGCCTGGAGGTAATGTTTCTACCTTTCTTCTGCCTGGGCCGGACACACCAATTTCTGCTGATCAAAGCAGAGGTACTGATCTGGACATCTTAAGTCTTCTGAAGACTTCTGTTTCATATGTAGTGGGGCCCTAAGAGAGTAGAAGAGCTTGCACTCTTGTATTTGCCTTTGCCTTTTAGCATTTTTACCTATTTACAAAAGAGAGTTCTTGATCCTGGTTAGTCACATGCCAAGTCCCAGAGGCAACGTAACAGCCCTCCCCAGCTTTTCTCCCCGCTATGCTGGAGTATAATTTTGAATTGTGGGATGATCAGGTTACTAAGATGAGAGTCTTTGATGGTTTCACTGGTATTTTCAGAGTGAGTAGGGTATAAATGTCATATACTACTAGACAGAAGGGATCCAATATAGAAATTCTAGAATCATAGTGACAAATTTAAATGGGACTCTAAAGGTTATTTTGTCCATTGTCCAACAGGCACTGGTCCCCTGCACTGTCTCTGCCAAGTGCTCTACCACAGACTGCTGCTCTGTAGAAACAGTTGGACAGCCTCCACGTGCCGTTTGCAAGGTCTTCAGAGCAGTTACTCTTTCTTGCATATAAGGTCCCTCAAGACATTTGAAAGCAGTTATAATCAATATTAGCAAATACTGAAAACTTCGCACTAAGCAGTGTGACAAATTTTGCTTTACATATAGTAACTGCTTTCATCCTCAATCATCAAGGTGGGCATTATCACAGATTAGGAAAGAGAGGATTAGGGAAGTCAATTTGCCCAAGGTCATCTAGCTCATAGATGGAAAACTGGATCCAGGACATTGCCCCAAACCAGTCCCTTAGCCACTACACTTTTCTGCCTCCATGGCTCTAGTTCTTCACCCAGGCCTGCTGCACAGTTAAACTGATCAGAGCCCAGCTGGGGAAGGGTGCATTTCATTCCATCAAGGTATTAATTGACAGACTAGAACAAGAACCTACATTGTGCTTGATGCCTGAAGGTCATCCCAGGACTGTGGCTTATCTTTTGGGTTGAGGAAAATCCAGCCACCCTCTCTAGATTCTTTATGTGGACAATTGGTATCTTGAACTCAAGTGTAGGATCTTGTATTTTTATCTTAACAATTTGTACTGTAGAAGCTGCCCTTTATTCCAGCCTGTCGCTGTTTTTCAACCTGGATTATCACTCAGAGTTCCTCATTGTTCTCTAGACTGTTGTACTAGAGAAGATGAAGTAACTTATCTCTAGAAGTTTGCTGTAAGTTTAACACATAGCCCACTAACCCAGTCAGCTGCTAACTGCTCTGTGTCCTGGCCATAATTCTCTCAACCAAGATGATAGCAGAAGCCCAGGGCCCTTCCTGAGAGATACTGTGCCTCCCACATGTCTTTGATCTGTTTACCTGTTCAGAAGGAAGGCAGAGTGGTTTGTAGTGAATTGCAATCCAACTCAAATGTCCCTTACAGCCATCCTGCAAATGAGTCACCTTGCCCAGGCATGGACCTAAAAGTAACTAAGCACAGATTGTAGATTCAGTTTGACTATTCTGAAAGCCTTAATTGAAAATTGCTGTGTCTCACCTTTATAAGGCCCATGACACAGGAGACCTGGATTCATTTGAATGCTGTATCTCTTGGGGCTTTGTTTCATACAATTTAAATTTTTGACTCCAAGGCCATGTGTCTTTCTGATCTTTATAGTCCTGAGAGTACACTTGTTAAACAATCAAAACAAAAATCAAGAGCAGTAGAGTTCCAGTGACTGACTTGGAGACACGAGGGATGCATCATAAAGGTGGGGCAGAGGGGAGAGCTTTGGATCAGGCCAGGAATATTATATTAGTGTTCTCTAGAGAAACAGAAGCAAAAAGGGAAACATTTATTGTAAATTTACTCTGTGTGTGTGTGTGTGTGTGTGTGGTACTGGTGATCAAACTCAGGACCTTGCACTTGCAAGGCAGGCACAGTGCCACTGAGCTAAATCCATAGCCCAGGAATTTACTCTTGATTGTGGGGGCTGGCAAGTCTGCTATCTACGGGGTGGGCCAGCAGGCTAGCAACCCAGGGAAGAATTAAAATTGCAGTCCAAAGTCTGAAGGCAGAATCCTTCTAGGAAGGCATTTCAGTCTTTCAAGGCCTTTAGTTGATTAGATAAAACCAAGCCATATTATAGGGGTGGTGTGTTTTAGATAAGTGTCCACCAAAGTTCCACGTGTTAAAATTTTGGTAGCACCAGAGGTGCTATTGGGAGGTGATGGAGCTAAGGAATAGCCTTGTGGAAACCTTTAGTTACAGTGGGGGGCTGCCCGCAAAGGGGGTTACCCTTGCCCTTCCTTTCTCTTGCTTCCTAACATGATGTGCTGCCTCATGATGCCCAAAACAATGGAACCAACAGCTCATGGACTGAAACCTCCAGAATTGCAAACCAAACCTTTTCACAAGGGCATTGTGCATTACTCAAAGTCCTTTGATATAAATGTTCATCACATTTAAAACATACTTAGACCTGTCATATAAAGGTACAAGATCCCAATAATGAATGTAACTGTACTGTATGTATACCTAAAATATACCAATAAACTCAATGAGGAAAAAAAACATACTTAGAAAAAAATAAACATATTTAGCCTGACGTGGTGGCACACACCTGTATGTCAGCACTTAGGAGATTGAAGCAAGAGAATCACCACAAGTTTGAGACCAGGCAAAATGAATAATGAGCCGGGCATGGGGGCACACGCCTGTAATCCCAGCACTGGGGAGGCTGAGACAGGAGGATTGCTGTGAGTTTAAGACCAGCCTGGGCTATATAGTGAGATCCTGTCTAAAAAACAAAAACAAAACAAATCATGAGTTCAAAGCTGGCCTGATCTCCATAGCGAGACCCTGTCCAAAACCAACAATAACATAAAGTATCTTCACAGCAGTATCTGTACTAGTATTTGACCAAACAACCTACAAACTGTTGGATGCCCCATGGCCAGAAAGGAAGGGTTTTTGGGACTGTGGCAAGTAGTCTGGCTCCATTAGAGAGTGCTCCTTTGAAGTCAAAGATCGGGGCTAAGTAATAGTGAAGATTTCAGGAACAGTTGGACAGACTGGGCTCTAAGTTGGGAAACATAGAACAAAAATAACGACAGATGCTCAGTGTGGCCACAGCAAGATAACCAAGACATGAGGAGGGAGACTATTGGAGCTGCTCAAGGGCTGAGAAGTCAGGACTTCACCCTGGGGCCAAAAATGGCAAATGCCATCAGCTTCCCTGGGACAGGTACCTCTCCCTGTGAGAATCTGTTAGTGATATTTCCTCTTGACTTGGTCTCCAAATTTTTCTCGGCATGCTTACTGTCTTGTAAGTTAAACCCTATTTGTCACTCTTATGTGGAGATAATGCAGTTGAAAAATATTGTAGGTTTTTGGTTTGGTTTGGTGTGTTTGTTTTTGGTTTTGTTTGGGTTTTTTGATACTGGGG